AGTCGTACTGCACTTCCGAAAAAAAGCTTCAAGGAGAGATGTAATAATTAATTTATGCATTGAAACGTTGGAATGAAAAGCACATGGCATTATATACATTTGGGCATATTGCCGGTGAAGATAGAGGTTCCCCCCATATCCTTTCACTTTTCTTCACTACTAATTCCTACTTCTTCGTATCATGCTGATGTCATAGTGCATTGGTGGCATATTCAACTGTCAAAGTTTCAACAAACCCTACGGGTGCCCACTCTCAACAGCTAATTGAGGTCAGCAGTCGATGAAGACTGCTTATCACTGGTTCAAATCGAATTCATTTCTATGACAAACATTTAGATCTGAAAACAAACATTAAGTTTCATTTGTGCATTTGTATTGAAAGATACAATATTTGCACGATAACATCTTCAGTATCATTTGGATGTTTTTAGCGAATCGACAGGTTAATTTCGATTAGCGATAGGGAATTATTCCAACGTTTCATTTTCTCGTTCTTTTGTCGGTTGACTGCGTTGGGAATACGTTCATATGGATACTTCGTATATCACATTACTGCTGTATTTTCCGTTATCGCGTAATACACACAATATAAGGATGGTTGTGTTTTTGAGATACTATTTAACAGATATTCTTTATTCAAATTGTTACATACAGTAATGCAAAAACACGATCATAACAGATTTTTGAAATGTCTATGAGTAAGGTGTTTGAAATATCATAGCAGATTGAAATGTGTATTGATATTTTGATGACGTTCGAGAATAAATTTTTTCGTTTATTGTCGTGAAATGAATGAATGTAGCGAGCAATATCAAATCAACCCGTGAAATGCGTCCATATCAAATGAATACATGCCATTGCATCTGTTGATAACAAAACATTTCTCTTCGCTACTCGCTCACAATTGTCAGCAGATAATCAGTTTCGATTGTATAACTGACAACAATTTCATTTCGCACGCTAATTTTCTTCTGACTGTATGTGTGTTATGAATGTACAAGCAAGCATTTAATCTGATTGAATCGAGCTGTTAAAAACATTGACTGTCGCTCTGGATTCATACTGAGTGTTAGTGAGTCAGAATCAGCATTCAATTTCTGCTTCAAAATTGTCACTGTGTTAGCGATTTGCATTAGACTGAACCAGCAGATGTTTATACGAGAATTGCACTAGAAACAATGAGTTATTTTCACATCGGTTGATCCAAAATTTTGATCCATTTGAGTACTTTCATGTCATTAATTCCGCAGAAAGTGACACCAACTTTCCACAGGCTAAGCTCCTTAAAAGTTTCATTACTACTGATTTGAATTATGAAATGTTTATCCGGTGGAAACGTTTTAGAATACGTGACTATTGTGCGATATTTTTAAAAAAATTTCAGTTATCGTCAGTCAGTTCATTTAAAAAATTTCAGTCAATCCATCTGAACGAGTTTCGCGTAACGGAATCGAAACATCGTTTTGCAGTTCGTCCGTCACAAACAACCATCCAAACTGAGCCAATTGTGCGTATTCGGTGCATTGAAATCTGAGCAGTTAGTACCTAGTTAACGGTTCAGACATCATTCTTCATCTTCACGATCGTAAGTTACTGATATTATCTGTGCTCGGATTCTGCTCTGTCAACAGTATTCTAATGTGACTTGTTCTGCGAGGAACGATAAGTTCAGCGAATTCGATTAATCAGTCGAGTGCAGGTCATTCTGCCTTATTGTCATTCTGCCTCATTTGAAACACTTGATAGATTCAACTGTGAATCGCTGACTTATTGGAACAGGCGCATTCATCTGATTCCATCGTTGATTTCTGGATTCCATATTCTGAACAACTGCATCGAATGTAAGTTTCTGAACACTTCGGGGCAGTTCTAATTGTATCACCAGAGCAGATCACCGCAACTCATTGTTATCCGATTGATCGTTAGACTGATTAAACAGTTGATCATCGGTCAGAGAAAAGCTGGAACAAGACTGATCTAATCTAAAAATAATCCTGTTAATCCAGGAGTTAAGACCTCTCAAATTTCAACTCGTCTTCCACAGGGCAGGTTAGAATGCCGTTTCGATTTATTTCTTGACTAACTGATCGCACATCTCATTTTTTCATTTCGTTACAAAAAAACTTTTTGTTGAAAAATAGAGTTCGTAATCGAAATTGATTTTTGACTGTCGCAACCATTCAAGCGTTGTAGAAAAGTTGCTCGAAAGCGTTGTTGGCATGTAAAAAATTTACTAATCATTATTTAATCAGTACTCTGAAAAAATGCTTGACGATAGCACTTGCAGATAGTCCTTTGACAGTGTAAGCCGATAATATCGAAATCGATAAGAATGTCAACTGAGAGATCCATTGGTTTTAGACTGCTGAATCAAATTTGACGAGAGATGCTCGTGACGATTGCCATTTTCTGTATTGCTATCTCACTGGCCGTGTCATTCTTCGTGCTCTCTTATTTGCTAAGATGGGTTTACATAAGACGATTCAATGAACGTATGCATCATCATTTGGATCTATTCGCACCGGGAATCCGAGGTTTCCATTTGTTTCCACTTATGTTTCTTTTCCCGGGTTTTCATAGACCTACCGGAACAATTCCGCGCATTGTAAATCCGTTTTCTTGCAGTCATGAGAGGAAACGTTTAGGTTATGAAAATATTTCATTATTTATGATGGTGCACGGAATGTACGTATGAGGATCTTATGCACTATGGATAGGCATGGCTGAATTCTTTTTGATTAGATTATTCTCTTGTTATTATGATTTGCTGACTAATATGGAGTAGAATG